ACTATAGTTTCATAAATAGAATACAATACAATCGAAAAATAGAACAAGAGATGTAGCAACAAATGACCTAATTTTAAACAGCATTAGCTACAATGTGTTTTTATCTGGCTGTATTCAACTCTGTGTGATAAAGAAAGGCACAGGGTAAATATTCTGACTGAATGATGCATTCACAATATTTATATCAAAACCTTGATGTGTTTTTCAGTATATACTAAATGAAAGTATGTAGACTCGTGAAACCACACCCATATACGCTCGCGGAATATTTTCCTTCAAATCCATAATGTTTCTGCTATAACAGCCTCCTCACTTCTGGGAAGGCTTTTCACTGCAAGTCGGAACACAGCTGCCGGTTTGGCTACCATTAGACTGAAGAACATATAGGTAGCTTAAACAGTTATGTAGGCGATAAGGCCTGGTTCACACACTGTTCACCCGGCTTCAGGTCTGAGCTTTAAAAAAGATCTTTCACAGCGGTTTCAGAAACTCATTTCTGTATAGGCCACGATTGGTGCAGGGAGAAAAGAGATGAAACCTCCCCTAACTTCTGCAACAAAGTTGCAAGCACAGACTATTTCATGGTATGGGGTTATTTTGATCATGACATCACAGCGCTCTTTTGGTATGACATCACTAAGTAGACGCATTATCAGTTCATTTGAGAACAATTAGAAAATGATCAATCACAGACCAGCATGTTTATCTTCCAGGGAGCTTCTGAAATACAAACCACCGTGAATCTGAGCAGCGCCAAAGATCTGAGGCGTCAAAGACAAACAGATCAGGCTCTTTAAACTCTTAACTGTCAACAAAGTTGGCTCCATTTCGAACCGAATCCAGAACCCGGAGCTGTAATGTCACAAAGAGCCCTTGGAAAATTCTGGAGTGTTCTGTGCTTACAGTAAACAAAGATAAGAGCCATTCTCATCTTCTCTTGTTTAACTAGAGTTCAGTTGTGCTTTGATTGATAAGATCTGCCCAGGCATTATTTTTGGCATAGAGACAAATGTGAGTGTGCACTTTGTAGTCTCCTTGACATGTAGAGGCCAGACTTTCCTCCTCTTTAATGCTTTCTGTCTCCGTTTCTTGGAAAATTAATACCAGAATCCTGCACACGAGAGGATTATTGTCTCACATATAAAGGTTTTTCCCGCCTACATCGTGTCAAGGTTGAGGAATTTGTATCATTCAAGCAAAAACTTGGAATGTGATTTGGCATGGGATTGTACAGGTAGATTTACCATGGAAGAGGGAGAGTGATATGACCTTGAGTCATGATGAGTGTTTTTCCTGTGCTGCTAAACTGAGCTGTGAAGTGTTTGGGACAGACTGGAATGTCTGTGGAATTCCCCTCGAATCCCCTGCATCATGCAGTACCTTTGACAGATTTCTCAACAATGAAGTCTCTCAACCCTGTTCTCCTCACTTTTTTTCTCTCATTCTCTCACTATTGTAGGAAATGTTACCTCATACAAAAAACACCTCTGTGTAAAACACAATAGCACGGGATCTTTCCCTCCCCAAGAACAGTTCCCTTACCTTCGAAAAACACAAGAACAAAATCTTAGCAAGTCTTAACAAGAGAGGAAAACTTGTTTAAACACTGGGTAACAAGTGAAAGCAAATACACAGCAAGGCTGAAGAGGAAATTAATTCTGTATAAGGTTTTGGCTATATACCGAATATACAGGATATTTGTACCAACAACATGATTGTGAGCGTGATATTGGATACACACTCTCATGGCCATTCCATAACTACATTTTGTCAAATTGGCAGCTAATTTGTATAAGTTTGAACAACCAATCTTTTTTTTCCGTACAAACTGCTTATACACCATTGATGGGTAGGTTTAGGGGTGGACTTTCATGCTTAACATTTTTTTTTCTTCTAAAAGTCATTTGTCTCCAAATAAATCACATTGAAGTAATTCATACAAAATTAAATTCAGTCAAACTTGCGGACTGATGTATACCCCCACCCTTCAAAAACACAATAGAGAATATTCTCATGGGTAAAGGTCAGAGTTACTCTCAAGGGATTTCTCTGAGAAACACATAATCCATGCTCAACCAGCCCTGCCTATCTCCTTCTATTCAGCACTGTATATAAGCAACACAATGTCTCATTGTGTGTGCATGTGTGTGTGTGTGTGTGTGTGTGTGTGTACTCCTCCCTCTCTTACAGCACTCTAATGCAATGAATGATTGGCACAGCTGACTGAGCTGATAACAGCTCCATCCTTTACATACCCACCCACCGCTAGGCACGCACACACCCGCTTGAGGTTAACCCTCGTGGGCCGCAGACCTAAACGTTGCCTGGCATCTATTCCCAGAAGCCTGAATCAAAACCACAGGTGGGCTTCAAAAACTGGCCTATATGGTGGGGTCACATAGCTGTCTAATTACCAGCGGTTTACAGTCTCAGGCTGTATATAAACTATAAACAACTTTCAGTTCAACAGTCAGACATTTGTTTCCCAATTTTTTTTTAATTGAAGGTGTAGTAATATTTGTCACTAGTGGCACTAAACAGAATTGCAGTCTGAGCACCCTGATGAGACAGGCATGAGTCATGACACTGGCTCAATACTAAAGTTTGGGGTGGAAACTGTTTGTCTTAACAATTTGGTTCGCAGAAATACCATGACATTTGGTTAATATGCTAACAAGATGTATCAAAGTTTAGAAGTGGATTGTTTGCCAAATTTCTCTCTGAAATTCTATTCAGATATGATACTTCCATAAAGATGCTTCAACACATTTTAAAAAGGATGTTTTGACTTTCTGTCTTCAGTGGAACGTAAAATGTTGAACAAACCACCATTCGACCACCAAGCAAATGGGGACCAGGGGCTGTCAAGCTCCAAAAAGGACAAACCTGGCATACATTGCATTACACTACATTACAGGCCATTTAATAATTTTTTTTTTTGTTGTTTTTGGTGTCGAAATTAAATCTTGCTTTATATGATTTAAAAGAAAATGTAAAACTAAAGAGTAAACAAAATGATCTGCAATTGAGATCAATCAGAACGGGGCAAACTGAGGTGAGCTGTAAGATGCCTCTTCTGAAGATGACATATTCAGGTCAGCCCATTGGCATGTCGCACCCCTTCAGTGACCATAAAAGAGGTGTAGAGTGCAAACACTGAGGGAATCTGCATTAGCTGTAATAGAAGTCTGCCTTGAGGTCAGAGGTTAAGCACTCTCACACTCCATCACTGACATTTATAAACCTGAGACAGAATTTCACACCTCTCAATGACACACCTGCTCACTAACTCTTCAGAACTTCGGTTTCTCTCTGCATCTTCAAGAGGAAGCAGAGAGAACAAGATGCAGATAGACTAAACGGCGTGCTGAAAACAAATTTTTAATAAAAGTTTATTACAAAGTTTTAATTTAGACCCTAAACATTCATATTAACTTGTACAAAAATGGCATTATATGACCCCTTTAAGATATGCTTAAAATAATATTTAGGGCCACTGCATGTATGAATGTGATTTTGCATGTGAGGTAATCTCTTATATCAACAGACAAAGCTTTAATCTTTTATATCACCCTGCAACTAAACAAATCAATCATCAACACTGTATCAAAACTACAATTGTACTTTCGACCGCAGGCCAAACTTCAGAGCAACAACAACAACAACTCTTTCAATTAGTCATACCTTTAGAACACTGTGTAGATATCATTTCATGTGTATCCACTGGAAAACAGAACAGTTCCCCCACCCCCTTCCCAAATTTGTACATGTTCTGTGAACTTAACAGACTGCAGGTGCTTTTCTTTCTATCAGAGCTGCAGTGTGTCACATCCTTAGACTGCAGCGAGCATTGTTCACATCTAATTTTTCTGCATGTAGCTGACTTCCTTTCTTTATTCCTTTACTCTGGCTATGGACCGGCAGTAGAAGAACGCAGGATGGAGTCTGACTGCAAGATTAGGACTACAACGTCACCTATTTCCTAAAGAGAGCGAGCAGAGAAAGAGAGAGAAAGATTAACAAATAGTAGGATGTGACACAACAATACAGCAAATTTGTGATATCATCTTGTTTAGTCTATTACTAACAGACTAAGAGCAAAAGTTCAGGTCTAGCATCACAGCTGAGGGGTGGGAAGCCTTTGACCAAATATATATATATTTATATATTTATATTGTGCCTGATAAAATAATAAAGAGATATCAGAGTGAAATGCAAGTACTGAATTATGAGCACAAACAAACAGACATGTTGGTATATAGGCCTAGTAGTGAACCTCATGCACACACAAAAAGATGTTTTGGGTGTGACATGACATGCCTTTCAAATTGTGATTATTACTTCATATATCCCCATATCCCAACAACATGTTTTCAACATGTAAGCCATCCTATTTGTGAGAGAATTAAAAAACCTACAATTGACAAAAAATAAATAAATAAATAAAATAAAAAGAAGAAGAAGCCAGGACTACATAAGGCCAAAGGGTGAACTCTTTTTTTTTTTTTCAGAGGGCAACATTATTATGATATAATCCACCAGTAATCGATCACTAGAGGGCGCTCGGTATCTGCTACCAAAAAAACATTTAACTGTGCCTTGACACGGGTGTCAATTTGGATTGTGAAAGAGTGCAAGCAGAGAATTTTTTTTTTCTTTTTTACAAAAAGTGCTAAAAAAAAATATAATAATTTTCACCCTACCTTTACCAGTAATTATATAACCATTCAGTTGTCAAATATTAGGCTATAGAATAGAAAATTATTCCTTTTGTGAAAGATTCAAATTGATTAAATGATAACAGTACTTGTTTAAAAAATCTTTAAATCTCAAAATCTTTTTTTTCTTATACTCTCTAAACTAAGTCAATAATCCTGTCAGATCTATAATTTTGTACGGAGGCCTCGCCCTCTGACTATGCGATTGGCTGCCACAGACGTTCTACTTCATCTGATGACTTGCCAATGGTTTATTGAACTGTCAGTCAAGTCCGTTCAGCCGTCTAGTAGTTAACTGATATAGTGAGAGCAGCGCGCTGGAGAACTGAGTGGATGTATGTGTGTGACTTTCATCTCATCTTCTGGAGGTCTTGCGGAGAAACGAATCACTTTGTATGGCTGGATTTCTGTGGCCGATGCATTTATTGGTTTTCTTTTTTTAACCATGTCGTATTAACTTCATAGGAGTCATGCATAACTATTTTGGAGCTTGTTTCTCAATAGTGTTGCTAATTTTGACGTTTTGGACTGAGGTGAGTTAAATTTCCTTAAGCCTTTTTAAGTCCACTTTTTTTCCTTCACTGTCTGCAAAGTCCATAGATTAAACAGTCGCTTAACATTGAACTGAAACTCATTGATTTTTGTCAAATTAGATTTTGGGATTCTTGTCCTAATAGAATTATCCTTCTGTCAGTGGAATCATGTGATCCTCAAAGTTTAAAGCGTTTTAAAACAAGTCCGCGTATAGGCTACACTGTTATGCCCCGACTTTGAAACTGTAAGCATTGCATATAATACGGTAAATGATTTAAAGTGCATATTTCTATATTGCACGAGCCTGTTTATTGACGTTATCTGTAAATTTCTTAACCACAAATGTAAGCCAATGCACTCGGCTATATATTATTTATAGTGATAAAGCATTATTATTAGGAACAAGACACATTATTCTGTGCAATAATGTTTGTAATTCATATTTTAACTATGTTATTTTTAGGTGTGCCAGTCGTCGGGTTATTTAGAGCTCCAGTTGATCAGCGTGGAGAATGACATGGGTGAGCTCGCGAATGGAAACTGCTGTGACGGCGCGCGGAGCGCACGAGACGGTCTGTGCGACCTGGACGAATGTGACACGTACTTGAAAGTGTGTCTAAAGGAATACCAGGTGGAGGTCACCACATCTGGCTTATGTACGTACGGCACTGGACGCTCGAGCGTGGTCGGAGGGAATACATTTCAGTCGAAAGGATTCAATGGAAACCCAAACAAGGCCAATGACCTCGGGACCGTTATCATTCCCTTTCAATTCGCTTGGCCGGTAGGTGTTTACCGATACTCAACAAAACAAACATTTTTTGTGAACACTTTCTACATATGCTATATGATCATGTAGGCTAGCATACTGTAATAGGCTACTTTATATCGACTGTTAAAAATATGCTCGCTTTTGTGAACTTTCAGAGTTTAAACTTGAATTAAGGTTGAATATGTTAAAGGAGGCTTAAAGGTGTTCATATTGTAATTGAAAACACATGACAGGCTTTTAACATGACATTTGGTAAGTAGCCTATCAAATCATATAGTAGGCAAATATATGTTACAGCTTATGTTAAGGGGTTTTCAATGCAATGAATTGCTTTGCATATTATCCACCTTAAGATGGTTGGCTGTGAACATTTCGCTGGTTTAAATGGTTATTAGGGTTGGCTAAGCTATAACCTTGACCACATTAAAATTATATAACCAGTTGGAAGCTTGTTTATTGATGGTCCAACATGATCTACTTACCTTGGACTGGCTAACGACCAGTTTAGACCAGTTAGAGACCAGCTACCATGTTCCATGACCAGATGGCCAAGACGCTCAAGTGAAACATGCTGGTCTTAACAACACCAACTGGTAGCCTGCGCATTAAACACTCATTGCAAAGCAAATGTTTGACTCGGTGGAAAGAGGAGAGCTTGGTGTCACAGTGGTCACTGGCGTTAATCGTAGAGATGATGAGTAGGGCTTCTCAGGTTACGGCGCGCGTTTGGCTGCGCGAGCGGCGGTTGGTGCGTGTCTCTCGCGCGCGCTGAGCATACAGTTACACGCGTAACTGATGGTGTTGTATTTATAGGACGTAGTGTGTTTTACTGCACGGAGCTGCATGAATACTATCTATCTATCTATCTATCTATCTATCTATCTATCTATCTATCTATCTATCTATCTATCTATCTATCTATCTATCTATCTATCTATCTATCTATCTATCTATCTATCTATCTATCTATCTATATCAGGCTGCTTAAGTGTATTCTCTTTTTTTCAGCAGGGGGTCTACAACAATTTACATTTACAACAAAATAGTTGCTACAGTTGATTTTACTGTAGAAAGGAATCATTATGAACATGCCACCCTTTCAATAAAACACGTCATCTTGGCAACATCTTTTTCTTTTCTTACTGAATTATAAGATATGATGAAGGACAACAGCGTAAATTAGATGAGTATTTATTTTTTATTTATTTATTTTTTTATTTTTTTAAAGAAAGGCACGATTTACACAAGACTGAGTCCTTGACTAGAGCTGGCATGCATGGAGTGATATCAGAACCCAAGGGATAGAGAAGAGAAAGAGAGAGGCAGTGGGAGTTGTCTACACGATCATGTTTCAGATAGCGGAATTGTCGCTAAATAGACCAGAACAGATAGTTTGTAAGATAACGCAAGGCACATTACTGTGGGTAAAACATTTAACTCAAACCACACAGAGCTTACATCAGTGTGCGTTTTTTTTTTCCTTTTAAACCTGGTAAATCTGTTTTGTAAGTAGTGGAAATCACTGCATTTGGTGAGAGCTGTCAGTGTTCTTATGTTGTGTACACATGCCTTTAAAAGTGGCTTTAAAATTGAGATAGAATGACTGTGCGTGAATATTTTGTCTATCTATCTATCTATCTATCTATCTATCTATCTATCTATCTATCTATCTATCTATCTATCTATCTATCTATCTATCTATCTATCTATCTATCTATCTATCTATCTATCTATCTATCTATCTATCTATCTATCGATCGGTCTGTCTATCTATCCATCTATATATTGTTGTATTTCATTCTACTATAGCATGCTCAGAAGTTGTTTAGTTTCAACAGTCATTTGAGCAACTGATTTCAGAGTCAGCTGGTGCACATTTGAAGATTCTTTGCTGTAACTGTTGGAGTCTGTGAAGTCTGCAGTCTTGTGTTAACAACTCGGGTGAAGACAGCCCATAATAGGAAGGAAATCCTCCTGCTGTGATGTTTTATAGTTATTTCTGGAACTGGCAAACCACAAAATAAACACTTGCTAATGGGAATAATCCTCCCATAATGTTCTTTTCTGCAGCTTGTCTGCTTTTAGGGCTTCAAAAATGATTCAACAACGAATAGGAATGATGATGGCACACAATACTGTTTGATACAGTTGCATCAACGCACTCTGTGCATCATCATTGTTATGTAGATCAGCACTTGCATCTGCCATTGTCCATAGTTTCTTTGCAAATCTGGTGTGCCAAGGGGAGGGGTGCAGTTTACGGAAGGTGATGTTTATGGGCCTTATAAGTCCTGCTGCGCTTGACGTCCTACAGCTGTTAGATCTTTGATTCTCTTCCAGCATACCATCTTTTGTTTTTGGATAAAAAAAAAATCTTGTCCCACTGAGCACACACACACATTTTTTAAAATTATTATTTAAGCTTTTCCAAGTAAGAGCTCCCCAAGTTCATGTTCTGTTTTACGATTAGGATGTTTTCAGTCTTCAATCTAAACCCTGAATACACAGTCAAGAAAAGAGATCTTTTTACAAACCAAGCAGGAATGTACAATAACAATATATCTTTACCAAAGCTAACATGAGCTCTTTTAAAAGCAGTCAGTGTATCTGGTTGTTTTGAGATATGGGGGTAAGGCCACTTAAATTACTGTGTCTTTATCATTTATGTCTCTGTTTTATATCTCAGAAATGTGGACCTGCCAAGAAGCTGCATTGAAAGTTTAACTGAAAGAGAGAGGGATGCTAGTGACAAAACAAACTTGATTCTATAATTCTTGACAGCAAAAACCATTATGAGGGCCTGCATGACTAAATACTGGATCTCCTCTACTTTTTATTTTCAGACCTTTCCTGTCCTCCTTTCACTCCATCCTGCTTTCTTTAAATCTTGGATGAGTGTTGGGTCTCTTGTTTCATGACTGTTTCTTTCTCCTATTTTCTGAGTGCTCTTTAGTTGGCTGAGCATTAGATCAGGTGTTTGATGCAAACCTGCAATGTGTTCTTCTTCTGGTCTCTGATATCAACTACTGGGTACAGGACTGATCTATCTATCTATCTATCTATCTATCTATCTATCTATCTATCTATCTATCTATCTATCTATCTATCTATCTATCTATCTATCTATCTATCTATCTATCTATCTATCTATCTATCTATCTAGCAGCTAGCTAGCTGTCAGTGTTCTTATGTCATGTATACATGTCCTTTAAAGGGACATTTCTCATTTGTAGCACTCATTTGTAGGAATTTCTCCCATCTAGCGGTGAAAATGTATTTTGCATTCAAACGAATTGTACTCTCCAGCGCCTTGCTTTTTCAAATACGCGTTGCATCAATGTTAGCCATTATGTATCAAAAAGCTATGACAAGAATAGCACTTCGTCGAGTGTTTCTTTGGGTGAACAGGTTTGTTATTTCAAACAAACAGCAACTTGACACAACGAATAAACGAATGTTACATTACTGACTGTGAAAAACATGAACTGTTGTAATAAGTAGTTAAGCCCTCTTTATTCATTATATTTTTTGAAGTAGCCTACGTGCATTAGATATCATTATTAACTAATGTCTGTCTATCATAAAGTACACAACCAAACAATGAAAAAAGCTTGTAATTAAGACTGTAACATTGACTTACCTGTCGCGAAAAAAACAGGACTTCCGCTGCATACTCTATCCACCTGGAAAAAGCTATCCAGACATTAACTTGTGTGTTTTGTAATCTCTTGTCACGTTTCCTTTTACAATCTATTTTTGGACTTTTCTTGCGATGAGGATTTGTAATGCATCTTTTAAACTTGCCGGGGCAGTGACAAGTGCCTTCCACTGCTCTGCTCTTCTGATTCTTCTGCGTTGAGTCACGTCAGGCTGGCTCTGAACGAAAGCGCGTTGTGGAAACGCGTTTGCCTAGTACTTTAAGTCCCTCTCTGCTATTATAGTTTTTTGGCGGAACTACATGGAAGCCTCCGTGGACCTACTCGTACCATGTATATAAAGATAAAATCTTCGTTTACGAGGATAAGTCAGATAATTGGCAGAGGTACTTGTACACCATTGAGGACATATTTATGAATAAAAATATTGATTTTAAATAATAAATTACTTAAAAATGTACACATAGTCCCTTTAAAGTGGCTTTTTACTGTAAACATGCAATAATTGCCTAATTGAAGATTAAATTGTGATAGATCTTCTAGAGGCTTGCCATAGACTTTTAACAGTTGTTTGGCACCATTGACTTCCATAGTCATTTTTTTTTCCTGCTGTGGAAGTCAATGGTGCCAAACAACTGTTAAAAGTCTATGGCAGGACTCTAGAAGATCTATCACAATTTAATCTTCAATTAGGCAATTAAAGTATGTTTAAAAAGCCACTTTAAAGGGACTATGTGTAACTATGTGTTAAGTCTGGTTCCAATCGTTCTTCAAAATATCTTCCTTTGTGTTCAGCAGAAGAAAGAAATTCATACAGGTTTGCAACAACTTGAGGGTGAGTAAATGATGACAGAATTTTCATTTTTGGGTGGAGTATCCCATTAAGTTTATATCAGGGCACAATTTATAATAAGAAAGTGATGACATTTTGTAGTTGCCCAGTAATTATCTGTCATTAGAATTTCGATTTATTTACAACCTTCAGTCTCTGCCACCGTTACCCCTGACATGCATTGAAAAAAAAATTTTCAGAGTTTTCTGAGGAGGTTTGAAAACTTTAAGTTTCAGTTGTGGCCTGTGTATACATGTAAAAATGTACATCTAAATGTCAATAAAATGGCCATATATTTTTTTTTTTAGGTTTTTCAGCACTCATTTTTTGTTTTTCAGTGATAAATTCTTTTTAGAAGGTAAGATCACACCATAGTAAAATCAAAATACACAGCTTAACTTGGCTTATTGCTAAAAAAATAACCACCACCTCTTTCATTGAAAATTGCACACAATGGAATTGCATTGTTAATTCTGTGCCATGGAAACCCAAGCACATTGGGTATGAAGTGAATTTAGAACACAGGTGTGTTACCAACCTACATATATCACATTCAGCTTTTAGGTGCAACAGTTCCTGTGTTTGTGTTTGTGTGTGTGTGGGTATGTGTGTTATTGTGCATTGATTTGCATTTGACCTGAATCCTTAGACCGATTTGTTCACACCAGGTGCGAGTATTTCCCACGCAATGAATGTTAATGAAAGATAAATTCAGGCTGGACTCTTGCAATAGACTGTACAGTACGTCCCCCTCACTGTCCTCTGATGTGTAAAAACTGTGACACTGCCTGCTCAGTGTCACTTAGGAAGCGTAATTTATTCATTGCCCGTGTGTGCGTGTGTTCCTGTGTATCTGCTGGCATGTGTATATGCATGTGGGTGTCTTATTTCCCTCCAACTAAGGAAAGATAAAATCTTCCCCTCTCCTGCTCCTCCCTTGACTGGTGGTTGGTGTCTGATGGCTGTCTATGGAGATTAGTAACTGTGTTACGCCACTGAACTTACATTATATGCTCATGCTACAAACTAATGCAACAAAAAACCTTTCCCTTTCTTTAGTGTGCTGACACTGATTCCTCAACATCCTTACACATTTAATGGGGTTTGGATCTTATTCTGGATATTATAAAGAGGAACGCAACTCCTAGGGGGTCTGTGGCAGTACTACAGGGGGTCCACCAATTATTGTTTCCATGTCAAACAAAATGTAGGCATTAAAGAAAAATGTGTCACAGTTTTTCTCAGTCGCTTTGGTGCATTTCTCACATGACTATTTACATTTGCACAACAGTTTATGCAGTTCTCAAAACAATTATTACAAACTGCAAAACCTAGTTGATAACCTGCAAAGTGTGTCACTTGCTCAAAATGGATTGCTCATTCCTCAAAAGCAAGTATTCATGTCAATGACAGTGTCAGTGTCATTACTGTAAGATGAAAAGTTCTGACATCATTGTTTATGAAAAACATAGTCATATGGCTTTGTCATGTTTTCATTATGACAGTTTACTCCAATGCAAAAAAGTCAGATCTTGGTGGCACTACCTGAAAATACTCAATACAACACTTTATACTATTTTCACAGCCATTTGAAAACTACAGTAAAGTTACACATTACTGTATTTAGTGAGGTAACGGACACTGAATATGTATGTTTCACATTTTTACTGCATATGCTCTTTGCAATTCTAATTTGTTCACAGCATTGTGCAAAAGAAAAAAATATTTACAACAAACATACCTCACATTGGGTAGATCTGTGCACAACAATATTGCAGTACTTATTGGAACTGAACATACAACATACTGTACATAGTTCTGTAAATCATTCATGAGCATCCCTTCTCATCATTGAAAGCTGAGGTTCACCTGAGAGAAATTGTTAAAAAAAATATTTTGCTTGACAGATTTTGACAACTAGTTCAACATTTTTGTATGTGATGACTCAAGCAATGAAATGAGGACTGTTAGTTTTATATGGAATGACTATTCAGCATTCACAATTATAGTTAATTTTGACTGACGTGACATAAGCAAATGATAATGTTATAAAACAGCAGTGAGTTGTATGAAAACTGATGCATGTCCAAAAGCATTTGCAATTTGTTGGAAGGAATTAGAAACTGCTACTATGATGTGCACAAATGACTAAATGTTGTGGAGGTTGAACTAACTGTTGTCCAAATATAAATTGTGTTGTGAGAAGTGCACCAAAGCGACTGAGAAAAACTGTGACTTCTACCAAAGATAATTAAAAAAAAAAAAAAAAAGGTTTCACTGTCCTTCCCAGTTCCCACAGTAATCATTATTTTATTTTGTAATGTAAGAATCATAAAACGTATATAAATACATTAATATGGCAGTACTGCAGTGCATACACATAGTTCATTTTATTTTTAAGATGATTATGATAATGTTAACACATTTTGATCAAAAGATAAAAAGAGATTTACAATGTTGCATGATATTTATATTTCAAATAAATGCTCTTCTTTTGAAAATTAATCAAACAATTCTTAAAAAGTATATCAGGGTTTCGTGAAAAGTGTACGTGTAATGATCAACAAATCAAAAGGTCAAGAATGGAGTCTGTTAGTTTTCAGCAGGATGAGATGATCACAAAAATCTCCAGGCAAAATGGAATGAACTTGGAAATATTTTAGAGAAACAACTTTGAAGATGAATATTTTCTGGGGGTTTTTTTTAAGCGTAGCCCATACCTTTCACTCATTTCTCTAAGACATTGAAATTATGTCGTAGTTATTGTCTTACTGGCTATACTTACATTTTTAGGGGGCCATTCACAAACATACAGTACACAGACACAGCATCAGATAGAAGAGAAAGATTGTGTGTCAAAGCAGATTGGACACTTTGACAATAGTGCATGTTTACAAAGGAAAAACTATATATATATATATATATATATATATATATATATAAACTTTTAAAAACAAGTGGCAGAACAATACAAGAGTGATGGCATTTCTGGAGCAATGATGATGGTGTTTTGTAGAAGACCAGGAGTTTTTGATTATTTACCGTGTTACATTTTTTCTTAATGTACATCCTTCAACATCCTGTACAAGTAAAAATGTACACATGTGAATGTCAATGAAATGCCAAAAAGAATAAAGGATTTGTAAGATTTGTGAATTTTGCTTAGAGGTGAAAGGTTTGAAGCCATGCCTGCATGAGTCTTTCCTTCTTACCATTTACTGCATGCACATACAAGTTTGAGCAGTTTGGCTTCACTGATGTTAGCGTGCCGATTCATGCTTCCAGAGAAAAGATGCTTGAGTGTTAGCACACAAAATCCATGGGCATGTTTCTCATGCCGTGCTGCTGCAGTAAACCTGATCTCTGCCCAAACCAAAAAAAAAACTAACCTTCTCTGCAAAACATAGACCTGCTAAAAACACCTCTTCATAAAGCTCCTCTGTTTTCAACAAGTGGCTCTTTGAAACATAAAAAGCTGTTTCCTTGCATTTTAATCTCTGATTTTAAACCAATTGCAAGCCATTGTACAGTTAACCTCTTAACTGCCAACCCCCTATTTGAGAATAGACATGAAAATGCACAATGGTTGAAAACCTTAGGCCTAAGTTTGATCTTGGTTTAAAGAAGACACTCAGCAGATTATTGCTGAAGTGAAAGCAAAAAATGAAAGAATGAAAAAGTAATGCAAGTTTATATTGACTGTAAATCAAATGTAGGCTATAGTAAAAAAAAATTTATTTTATATAAAATATATATTTTACAGAATAACATCAAAGCCATATATATAACCAAGTTGTGTTCCAAATTTGAAGTTGATATCACAAAAATTGAAGTTTCAGATCTTATGTTGGTCATACTTCCAAAAAGTAGAATCTGTGATTCTGAATGCCAGTATCCGTCATGGTGACTGACAGCCGCACACTCTCCTCAAAACATTGTGTTCATCTGCGCTGTACTGTGCCGAGGTACAACTCACATAAAGTTGATAATTCCACGAATGACTGCAATTGCAGATTTCGACAAAGAGGCTTTAAAGTACCATTTCCACGGTAACTCAATGTCGAAATGGTTTTCAAAGTATGAATTTTAAATTTGTAAGCTTTCAAACTATTCATATTTTATGATGATTACTAAAATATGTGATACGAAAAAAAGGCAATAAATAAAGAGCGCCAAGCGTCACGCTAGCAGGATGGTGACAGTTAAGGGGTTCTACAGAAGCTTATTACACGTATGATATTCTGTCTTCTGTCTATGCTTGAGATTTATTTCTCTTTCTAGCATTTCCTGAAATTTCCATCCAGGACAGTATTTGCAATCCCAAAAGCACTCTGGTTCTGTTAGATTTGAGGAAATAAACGCTATTATCACTTATTTGAGAAAGAACATGACCTCTCCCTCACCTAAAATACTGCTGGTTCAGGAACCTTTTGAAGTCATGTTGTTAATCAACTTGACTTAGCAAAACATTTTCCCAAGCAATGAATGAACTAAAGAACATTGTCGAAGCATGTTCAGTGTAGAAAAAACAAAACATGCTTGCATAAACATCACACAATCATTTATGAATTTGTTGACTGCGGCAGTGACCTGATGCACACTCATACAAAAGTCCTTACACCATCTCATCGTTCATCTGGTTTATAACCGGGCTAATCAGTCACCAGACTGTGGGAACCAGGTTATTCACTTTGCTATTATGACTTGCATCCGGTTAAAAAGGTACACAAACATATTCACTTCACACGCTATCTAAACGAGGACATCAAATAAATTTCTATTGTTTTATAATGGCTACAAACTAACCATATCCCTAGAGTAATATCCTCAGAGTGAAAATCCCCAGGTATTATTATACTTGAATATCTTTTTTTCTTTGAGGATGTCTTTGGATGTTCTTCTATGTTTTGTGAGGTTAATGTGAATACATAAACATTGATTTTTTTTTTTTTTTTGGATGGTTGTGTAGTCAGTCTTTATTTTACTTTGCCTCTGTAGGTAGACTAATATAAGTACTGTGTATGTGCTTCTTGTGCCAAAGTGTTTTGTTTGTCCGTTTTTGCACTGCGTATTATTTCATTGATATTTTTGATTTGTCTTTTGCATAGACTTTGAGTGTGGAGACCTATATGTCTGTGTATATTAACCAGCTCTTTCTCTCTATCTCCTAGCTAGCGTACACTTTGATCGTGGAGGCTTGGGACTGGGACAACCAAACGATCACTGATGGCAGTGAGTAATGATTTCCCAACACCTTGACACACACCACCATGCATTACTGCGTGCACAATCTTTAAGCTATCATGACCTGCTGTCCCTCTCTTGAACATGTTTACATCCACAATGACACAGAAAGTCAGATTTGTGCAGGCTGGCTTTGACATTTGACTTAACATTCTTGAATTAGTTGGGTTTTGCAGTATTTTATGCTTAATGTGAATAATAAATTATCAGGGTAAGACTAAGGAGATGTGTTTCCCCTTTAAAACATATTTAAATAGATTTCCATGTAATGGTTTCAAGTTACGTGTTGCCACACAACCTACACATCTCAGCAGCATAAATGCTCCTGGTAAATTTTTTTTTTATATTTTAGGCATGGCAGAAAGCAACGCTCCCTTTTATAATCACTAAAAAGCAGTCACTTATTTTAGTTAATTGTGATCTCACAAAGTTCCATTATAATCAGTGACGCTGACTGCACAATTTATCTCTTATTTACATAATGTCTACACTTTGTTATAAGAAGATTTTGTGAGTTTGCAGAGCTCAGCTCTGAACAAAAACTCCAGCCTCTGATTGGCCATTGAATTCAAGAACTCAACAGATATGTTTGTGATTGGTTACATTGCTCAACGTTACAAAAACACATTGTTAATAGAAATCGTTGACACTCTCCAGAGCGCCAACACTGGATCGCTTGCCAAATCTGTTGAAATGGCATGACATTATGTTTACAATAAATGTCACAGCAGACATAATAAGTTGTACATAATAAAGTGCACGACTGTACCATTTGCAATTTGTTCAAAAGAATGAGTAATTGCTTTTACGATGAGCACAATTGACTAGATGATGTAGAGGTTGAACAAGTTTTGAGAATTTCAAATGTGACCTAAGAAAAGCACCAAAGCGACTGAGAAAAAACTGTAATAAAAAAAGCACGTGGACAGGGTGGTTGATCAGAGTATTAAGTTAGAGCTAGATTCCTGTGGTCTGATGTGTCTTTGAACCATTATGGGGTACCCCCAGGCTCATGAAGGATGTGCATGCACAAAACTCAGCAAAAAATTACACAAGTTTCTGCAGAATCCGACTGCCCATCATTCCCTAAATTCCAAATATACCCTCATGCTCACGTTTAAATATTTTGGCTAATTTGATCTACATTATTTGAAAAAGTAAAGGTCTCCATTATATACACCATAGGTTTAAAAGTCTCTGTCATTTTTCTCATTAAAAAGGATCATACAGCATACATGTCTGAGATCTACAATGAGATTGATCTAATCGCAAAAAGTGTATTTCAATGAAAACCATGGGTTAAATGAGGTCATTGATTAAACACAGGTGTGGCACATGAGTGTAAATAAAAATGCTGTGACAGTAACAGAAAACAAGAAAACTTTGAATATCAGCAGATTCTATGATCTGGGCCTTGTTAACTCTGCATTTATTACTGTAGGAGAGACTAATTTACTAGATTTTTTGTTTATCAGAAAGCACTGTATCAACTGTCATGGTATGGGAACCCAGTGCAAAGGACATGTTAACACATGGTGTGAATGTTGATGTGTGTGTGTGTGTGTGTGTGTTGTCATACACAGATGTGTCCTGTTTTCCTCTTCTCCTCCTGTACTTCTCCTTTGCTCCATAACAGAGGATGACTCTGACAGGAAGTACCATTAACGAAGGAATTCATGTTCTCTGTGTTCGATGATCATTTACAAGCAATGTGTTATATAAACCCTAACATGCTAAATACTCTCAAAATTTCCAGGTAATTAATTACCTTGAGGAATTGAAGTCATGCATCAAATTAATCAGAAGTGATATTAAAGACAATAATGTTATTAAAAAAACTTCAAATAAATATTGTTTCCAGTTTGAAGAACAAAGAACAAGAGAATAATATTCTTTAATATGGTCCACAAAAATATTAAGCAGTTTCAACATTGATAATAATAATTGAATAGAATTATTTCTGAAAGACCATGTGAAAATTCAGCTTTGTCATCACAGGAATAAATATAATAAAATATTAAAATGGAAAATAGTTATTTGAAATTGTTATAATAGTTCACAACATTACTGTTTTTTACTGTATTTTTGGTCAAATAAACGCAGCCTTGGTGAGATTTTTTTTAAAAACATTTAAAATAAAAACTCTTCCTGAACCCAAACTTTTGATTGTTAGTGTGTATTTCAAACACATCATAAACTGTTCACCTAATGTGTTCTTCACAATGAGAAGTGAAGTAAACGATAAATAGCATTAAATTTAACTAGCTGTAAGTATAACCCTGATTTGCAATTAAAAAGTTTAACTGGATTGATCAAAACTAAGCATTGCTGAGATGGACTGGAGATTTGCGTATTTGACTGGATGGGAAAAGTTTATGTTAGAAAGTAAATTGTTATTTTATTTTTTGGGAAAAACAAGTAAGGTGGACATCAGTTAGTGCTGAATGTCACTGTAAATGAGGATTATATGTAGGTCAGTCGGGAGGTGGTGATGACTGGAGGCTGTGGTTTGGTCAGAAACAAGTTACTGCAAAACTGAACTGCTCTATAATAAGCAAATCCTGATCCATTATATCTAATAACGTCTAATTGGATTACCTAATTTATTAAGACAGTCTATTCTACTGCAAAGTAGAAGAAAAAGAGAATAAACGACGCACATGTCTCCTTCAGTCTTCAAGCACAGAGTATGGTTTTAAACCTTTCTAGACACTTTACAGCAGATTTGAGTATTTGTAGATGTTAGTTTATGTTTATTTGTGGATGAATATCTTGTGTGGCTGTTTGTTGCTAGTGTGCTCTTGCCCTTAATGGGGAAGGGAGGTCGTTTTAGCATGCAAATGGAAAATGTTTATATTCCGCGTGTAATGTTTAAAGTCCCCGGAGAGAGTTTGGGCCTAAACAAAGAGCGTGAGGTCATCGCCTCGTTAAGACATTAATTACCGTTACTGCTGCTCGTTATTTTCCACACATGTCTGAGCTAATTATTGTCTGAGCAGCTGCGATGCTATTCTTCACACACACAACACACACGTAGAAACAAATACACCACCGATAATTAATCCTAAAGCATAGGGCTACTGACTGGCATGATTATTTACTCTCACAAATACACACAACACTTACAAGGCACTGATATGTTCACATACACAACTTTGTCAGACAATTGTCTTCTGACTCTCTGAAACATAGCACAGGGCTTTGCTTAGCATGTATTTCAAACAGACTAGATCTCACTCAGACAGACCATGAGCAAGATCTAGTCTGCATTTTTTTTTTTAGATGATCATCCAGATGACAAGATGTTGAGACATCAACCGGTAAAGAGGCAGTGAGAGTGTGTGAATGTTCCTGATGCATTACGAGTGGAGCGAATTACTGATGAGTAATTCAGATGGGTGAAAAATAATTTAAGTGTTAAAGGGGACCTATTATACACCTTTTTACAAGACATAATATAAGTCTCCGCTCGAAATACCCCTCAGATAATTTATTATGTTTTAAATGCCGACTTTTGTGTGGAAGGAAAAACACACTGTTTTCGTGCACATACTGTATCTTTAAATGCAAATGAGCTGCTGAGTATTAAACTAAGTTCTCTTTCATGGGTTATTGCGCTTAAACTGTCACGTGTATATTATATCTGTGTATGTAAGTGAAAGCAGCGTAATGCACAGTACTGCGAAATATGCTGTTAATATGAATCAAACAACAATATAAAAACAGAAAATCACTTACTGCTCTTGATTGAATAAGAATACATTTCTTACTTGAATGCTGCTGTTAAATGCTCTGATGCGGAGATAAACATGGTCTATGCTAATAGGGGCAGAAAGAATTTAGCATATTTAGGGCCCCTTTAAATGTGGTTGTACTTCCTTGAAGGGATTTGTTCTACTACCATTATCCGCAAACATTTTTCTATGCATAGAAATTTTAATTAATAATTAATATTTATAATTAATAATAACTTAACCCTTTAACATTATTATTTGATTATTGATTGTTTACACAATTTACTCCGGCAAAACATGAAGGCAGGTGCGTTTTAGACCAAACATATAATGGTGATTGAGTGCGACCTGAAAGCATCAGTGAATGGTGAGATATTTTGCTAAATAAAATGAGAATAGAGTGATAATTTGATTTTGTCTGTTCCATCTGTATCATCTCGGTGAGCTTTTATAAGGGTTTACACATGTGTGGATCAGTGTGGATATGAAACTTTTGGAAAATGCTTAAAAAGTTGGTTGCAGACAAGGGAATAAGTGCACACTGTAAGCAGACCAATCAGAACAGACTGGGCCATCTGACCAATCAGTAGAAAGGAATGGTTTAGAGAGACTGAATCTTTAAACTTACCAGTTCTTTAAGAAATTAGGTGATATGCAATGTGTATTATGAGGAAAATAATGTGTTTTTGTAAAAAAAAATATATATATATATAGGTATATATATATATATATTATAAATATAACATGTAAATATATTGTAGGAGACAGAACTTGGAACAAAATAGGGGTACTTTAAATACAAAACAGGTCTTGCAAAATTGCATGCTAATGTTGTTTTGGATAAAATAATGATGAAGCATTTATATATATATAGGTGCTAAATAGGTGGGGCGCTGTTTACAGGGCATCAGGTAGCTGAGGCCCTTTGGAGGAGAGGGTCCTGTGGGGCTGTTTACCTTTCAGGAAGTCCGTCTCTCCAGCTCTGCGTTTGGACTCTAAACAGCTCTTTCTGGCCAGCACGTCAACTGCATTGTTCATGTATCGTCAAGGGGCAGAGAAAGGGGTGTTATTGTGTTTCACTTGTACTGTAGTGCTTGCCTGTAGATCGCTAGATGGTAATAAAGTGGATAAGTGAAAAAATGCAAAAAGGAAGTGGAAGTTAAGAAAGGTGGGGTACATTATAATGGAGGAAAACTTAGAAATGTGGGTGAGAGAGAGAGCGAGAGATGTGTATTTATAAGGGAAATTATTTGGCCTTGTCTGATTCTTTGGTCTATTGTTTGTGATCTGTTATCGGCCGTGGCAATAGGGGCCAAATCGCGCCCATTGTGCTGGAGGCAGTGAAACAGAGCAAACTGGAGACAGACTGATGGAGAGATGTAAATAGGACAGAAAGAAAATAATAGGAAAGAAAAGAAACTAAGAAAAGACGCTTTGTTTCTAAGCCTAACAGCAGCCCTCATCTGCATTTCCTGAGTTTTTTCTTTATCTAAAGCTGTTGTTTTGAGTTAAAGAGAGCCTCTCAGATCAAGGCTGAAGTTCTAGCGTTGATTGAGCTCACAGGATAAACTCGACTGATTACTCCGAGAGCTGTTCACCTGCTTACCTGTTTGATAGTTAGGGCTCTTATTCATGTGTGTGACTGTTCTTGAGCTGGCTTATCTTTAGTCTCTCTCTCTCTCTCTCTCTCTCACACACACTACTGTGACTCTACCCAGTAACAGTCTCTAAGTGTCTTCTTCAGCTTATAGAGAGGGAGTGATTGGTGTGTATTTTTATAACTAATTGCTGTAGATGAATTAGGAGATGAGTACTATTTTTTTTAGGTTTATAAGTGGGGGGAGAGTGAGAGGGGGAAGAGAGTATAGAAAAAAAAGGGGGGGATGGCACAGTTGATATGAAAGAGCTTTACAAATTCCTTTTTTTAGTCAGAAAGTAGGAAAGTATGTCATAGCTTTTGTTCCACTTCTGGAATCGTGTGTCCATTTAAGGAAGAGAGCAAGTGGACTGAGATGGGGCGAGTGGGGTGATTTTGGATGTGGGGAAGGATTCGTGAGGGAATGTGCACAAGGACGATTTATAGAGCACCTTGGCTAGCGGTCAAACATAATGACCTGTCAGAAATAACACTGCTATCTCTGATACATCCTCAATTTACTTTGGCTGTTTCAAATATTTTCTGCATTCCTGTGGGAGATATATTCAAATTTAATAAACAAATGTAAACGTTTACCATCGATAAAAGTCTCTTATTGCTGTCATATATGAACACATACTATCATTTTTCAAATGCAATCAAATTTGAGAAAAATATAATTCTTATGTGTTTAATGATTTATCTGTGCACATCATGATTTATTTTACATTAAACACAACATTATAATGTACAGTTTATTTGTACAGTTTGCCTGAATTCACCTGTACAGTTTAAAAAGAAAAATGTTAGTCTATCGAGGAAAAATTGTATTGACAGTATTTGGTAAATAGTATTAGGCCTACCATTTGGTAATATGCAAATGAGTCTCTGGCCTCAGGTAAGTGATTTGGCCTCTGGTGATCATGTCACCCCCTGATTCAGCCATATCCCTATCCCTGTCGTGTCCCTAGACGATGATATTGCTAATTTAATCAGGTGTGAATTTCTTGTATGGAATGGAAAGTGCTGCAATGTGAGAATCTCAAGCCAACACCCACCTTCATGAACAGCATAGATTAGATTTGAATCATTGTTGAAGTTGTGTTCGCTCGCTCTTTAAGACGCTGTTTGTCTTTTTCCCACACACCCAGCCACCCACACACACTTTTTTTGCTCCGCTACATTGTGACTGTAGTTGTTCGCAAGGTCACCATGTTTCTCTTCTCTTCTCGAGAGCAAGTTTGGGTGTGTTTGTGTTTTCTTGGGGTGGTGGTGGTGTGGGGGGGGGGGGGGGTGGGTCTTCCTGGTCTGTTCCTGATTGTATTATTTCCTCACTGGCTCCCAAGCAGTCTGAGACAAGTGTGTGTGTTCCACTGAAGCAGGAAGACCGACTGTGCTTCATAATTAACACACACCCATATAAACCAATGTTTTTGTCTCTGTCAAAGGTGATGATCTGTTAATCGAGAGGAGTATAAATCGCGGAAAAATGAACCCCGAAGAGGACCGACGGATCATTCAGCACAAGGGCCAAACAGCCAGCATCAACTACAGCGTGTGTGTGCGCTGCGATCGCTATTACTACGGCAACAAGTGTAACAAACAGTGTCGCCCCCGAGATGATTACTTTGGCCATTACACATGCGATCACTTGGGCGGTCAGCAGTGCATGGACGGCTGGACTGGGCCCGACTGCAAGAAAGGTGTGTACATGTGTTTATGAGTAAACATACAGTGTATTGATTTTGGTATATAATGGATACAGAGATCAAGAAAGGTGGCGACAGAAACCGTTGATGTTGTGATGTTCAGCAATGCAACAGGGTTCCGTTAAAGTCACCTTGAAATCACAATTGACAATTTTTTATTTTATTTATGAAACATTGCATTGTTTATTATAAATGATTTATCTGAGCACATCCCAATTGTTTCATTCATGTACCCTCATAATCTTAAGTTAATAAACTTACCCCCCCCCCCTCACAACAACATCTCTTTTCCGTGTGAGTACACAACAATTATCCCTTCACTCCAGCAACCTGTGACTCACATGAGATCACAGCAATTAGCAAACAACAATGATCCAACAATTATCAATTCCTCCCTAGTGAAAAAAAAACCTATAGTAAAATTTATTTAAAATGCATTTATTTCATACTAAGTATACTACAAAATCCATTAACATATTAACTGATATATCGCTTGAGACTTACTGATATACAGTAAATATTATAATTAAACTTTATTTGGAGGACTTCTCAATTGCAATGCACATTTCTTAATATTAAGCCTAAAATGTGTTTTAATATCACTATTAGTAAGGATAGTTTGATCAGTGTATAATATCAGTCTGTAAATGCAAGATATTTAAAGTGTACCCGAAAGTATACTTGGAATAATTCCACTTTAGCACAATCAAATATACTTCAGTATATCTTTAGTTGGACCTCAGCACTATGTCTGGATAACTAAAGTGCATTAAGCACAAAATTCCCAATTGAGTATACCAAAGAACAGTTGCAGGGTATTTAAGTACATACATGTGTAAATGTATTTTAGTATACTTAGCATAAAAAATAAATGTACTGTATTTGAAATACATTTTGATCTATATATATATATATATATATATATATATATATATATATATATATACGTATATATATATAGCAGGAATTATTACTCAAACACAACTAAATGCATATCTACAATAATACAGACAAAGAACTAAGGAAGACTCAGGGCTTGAAAACATGGGGAGTAATGAAGATACAAATTAGACAACAGGTGAATGAAATCAGTTACTATGGGAACAAACTAATGGCTGAACAATGAGAACAAAGGAAACAGCACAGGAACCAAAACCAAAACACAATGAACATAACGTAATCCTGACAACAACCTCTGGGTGACCTCCAGCAATAAAATCATTTTATGTGTGAACACCTTATTAGCGCTGTCTTCAGTCTCTGAATGTAAATCACATGTATCAATGAAGGGAGAGCAAAGGAATATACTGAACTTAATTCATACTGTACTTCTCTGTCTTTCAGCTATCTGTAAGCAAGGCTGCAGTGAGCTTCACGGAAGCTGTGACGCTCCGGGAGAATGTGTGTAAGTGTTAGTTGATCTCTCTCTATTCTCAGGCCATGCATCCAGAAGAGATGAATGAGTCTGTCTGTTAGAGTAAAATTGTTTCACACACACATTTACTTGCATGCACAGCAGCTTTAAATAGTCCAGAGCAGACAACTGAAGGATAAAATGATAATATTAGCTCTGTCTCCACTATGAATGTGTGAGTGGTTGGCTATTTTCAGAATGGAATACAGTATATATACAGCATTTTTTTTAAATACATGAGAATTAATGCATAAAACACTTCAAAGAGTCTATGCTATTTTTTACTGTTATTGTCAGATGATCTCACTATGTTTGTCACATGAACTCTTCACATTTGCATGTTCAATTTGTCCAGTTATCATCTTGGGAAAATGATTTAATGAAAAGCGTTTTAGAATTTACATGTAAATTTGTAGTAGGATACCTGAGTAGATGCTATACTGCAGAAATAGTATAGTATGTAGTTTGCTGTTTTGTATATAACCACTGATCCCCGGTGTGTCTAAGTGATGTTTATTTTCCTCTACGGCAATTCAGAAATCTTTTAAAGTATGTGAGGTGGAAATGACCTTTGACCAGCAATCTGTCTGGAATTCATTGCTGTCTTAGATTAGGAAAGAGACAGAGGTCACGACCTGTGTGTACTACACTCCTTTCCCTGTGATACTCAGACTTCTCTCCCTCACAGTTTCTGGTGTTGTGTACATGTGCAATGTGTGACAACATTTTCTGTGTAAATAGAAAACTTGTGTAAAACAAAAAGTTAAACACATTGAAAGTTGAAATGATTTATTAGGTTTTTACTGCAGTGCGATAAATGTGTTCATTAGTATAAATTTCGTTCAGAATATCACACACATTTTGACCCCATAACATATGGCTAACCAGGACCACACACACACTCCTACTCATGCTTATGCTCTACTGTGTTGTAGGTGTAAGTACGGCTGGCAAGGTCCACTGTGCGATGAGTGTTTGCCGTACCCGGGGTGTATGCATGGCACTTGTCTGAAACCCTGGACATGCACCTGTGAGAAGAACTGGGGAGGACTTCTGTGTGACAAAGGTAAGTTGAATTATCGGTACCTTCTTTTTTCAGCAAATATAGATGGAATCAAGTGGCATATCATGTAATTGAAAAAAATATAAAAAAAAAATATCTGGCAGCGACTTCCATTCAAAGGCATAGTGCATCTGTATTTACAAAAAGAAACACATACACTACTGCACAAACATATTTCTTTTTTAAATAAATGCTGTTAATGTAAAAAAAAATATTCTTTTCTGTTCATCAAACAATCCTGATTTTTTTTTCTAAATATTAAGTTGCACAAAATGTTTCTTGAGAACCAAATCAGTTTCCCAACCAAATCACATTATGATCATGTGACTGAAGACTGGAGTAATGACTGTTGAAGATTCTGCTTTGCCATTATAGAACTAAATTACACTTTAAAAAAAATGATGTTTAAAAAAAACAGATGTTTTAAAATTGTAATAATATTTCAAATAATTACTGTTTATATTGTGCTTTATAAATGCAGTCTTGGTGAACATAAGATATTTTAAATAATAAATATAATATATATATATATATATATATATATATATATATATTAATTGCAGAGATGCCAAACTTTTAAGCAGGTAGATTACCCAAATATTTGCAAACACACACACACTCACAAAATAACCCTCTAATATGAGATTCTTGGTGCTGTGACCTGTAACTTCTCATTTACTTAAAAATGTTTTGTTAAGATAGTAAATGAATGCAGTCGAGGCCTGTTCCCTCTCACATTAGACATTCACTGACATCCACACACATTTTGTCTGCTCCGAATGGCATGTTGCAACTTTTCTGCCATATTCTTTCCTGTCAGAAAAGTAAGATTGTATATAGACCATTTCACAAGATGTAAACAACACTGGTCCAGAAGCACTTCCTGTTTCAGATTTTTAACACTACATAAAAGCTGGGATAAAATACAACCAACAGAACATTTAAAACTGAATCAAAAAGTTAAACAAACATCTTTAAGATGTTTTCTTTACATGTGAAATAAAGAAAACAGTTACAAACTGAAACAGGAAGTGCTTCTGGACCAGTGTTGCTTACATCTTGTGAAATGGTCTATAGTTTATTTGTTTGTTTCTGTACAGATTTAAATTACTGTGGCACACACAAGCCCTGTGTAAATGGAGGCACTTGTCTGAATGCTGAGCCAGATGAATATTTCTGCTCTTGCCCTGAGGGTTACTCCGGCAAAAACTGCCATATCGGTAAGAAACAAGCTTTCTGATACTCTGCAGAAAAGCTTTCTGATATTCTGACAAAAGTTGTCTTATAATTCTACAAACTATTCTTAATGGTTAAAAATACAGTTGCAGTATATTTGATTTTAGGTATATCAAAACATGTGTGTATATTTGTAACTTACAGCCGAGCATGCGTGCATGTCAAATCCATGTGCAAATGGCGGGACATGTCATGAACTGGCATCAGGGTTTGAGTGCCAGTGTCCCCCAGGGTGGGATGGCCCAACTTGTGCGAAAGGTCAGAAATTACCCTCTTTTATCTAGTCTAGATGAAGTAGACTATACTCTCAATTGTGCATATTTATTTTCATTCTATGTACATGTGTTTCAGACAAAGATGAGTGTACGTCAACCCCGTGCGCTCATGGGGGGACCTGCTTTGATCTGGAGAATGGCTTTGACTGTTTATGCCCCCCACAGTGGACTGGCAAGACCTGTCAGATAGGTGAGAGCAAGATGTGTATGTTTACTGTTGTTCATATTACTGATTTTAGGCTAGGGTTACAAAACAGTACCACGTTTAACTGGACCGTATCACGTCCAAATAGGATGCCTCATGGCACCTGTTTATTGTAATGAGGTGTGTAACTGAATGTCACGTTTACATCTTACATCACGAATTACTCACAGGTGATTGTGTTACAGTGTGAGCGTACTGTATGCTTGTGCCTTTGATTGCTTTTTGCGAGTGCATGAGCGTGTGATATTTCTGTAAATATGTATAAATGTTGGCATTGCGTGCTTGTATGTTGATTTAACCTGAGTTTGCGGGCATGTACTGTATGTGTGTGAATTTCGTGCGAGCCTGTGTGGTCATGGCACATAGCTGAATATTATCTGTAACCAGACCCAGGTGATTTAAGTAAAGCTAAATATATCAACGGGCCTGGCAACTGCCAAGACGGGGACTAAATTTATCTTTTTGTGGGACTATATTAGAGTGATCATGGAGAAAGAAGCTCAAAAGGGGTGTGGTGGAAGTATTTTACTGAGTGCGACAGGAAATGCGTTATAACCTGTAAACAAGTGCTGTGTGGAATTGTAGCTGTGGTGTCTGGTTATAGGGGCCGGGTCAGGTTTCCCCGGTAGTGTTCCAGTCTCAGGTGTGGAGCAGGCAGGGTTACTGTACCTGTGCAGGTTTGAAGAGGGTGTCCGATTTCATCCAGGGTACACCATCGGTCCCATATAGCCACACAACTTTAATTTGTTCACTTAAGACATATTGTACCCTCCTGTACACATTAAACCCATTTCCTCTGTTTCAGAGTAAAGCGTGCAGTGCATTTCATTATTATAAATATCTTATAAGACAGTTGTAATTACAAGTTTAAATTAGAGTTAAAAAAATATAACTACTATTAATAATAACCATTGATATTCACATATGTCGTTTAGTTGTTCAATTAAAAATTAAAATGATTAACTTAAAATATCAGCAGGTACTTCATGAAAATATTTAACATCTAAGGGGGTTGGCTGTGACAGTAAAGTTTGGGAACCCCTGTTTTAGGTCAGCTTTTTTACTCCAAGGCTTCACCATTGTCCACAACAATATTTAAAGGCCCCATGATTTTTTCAGTTGTTCATGATTTACTGATTAATGATTTTTTTTTTCTCCACAATTTCTACTCGATAAAATATCTCAGCGTTTGTCATAACTAGGAAAATATAAATGTAATATTAAAATACCCAGGAAGATTTTATTTATTTAGGTCTAGAAATCATACATAAATACATTGCTGAGGGGGTGAATTAAAATAAGAAATATCTAGATTTAACTAGTTTTAGCTAGTTTTCTGGTTGATAACCATTGTTTTAGGGTGTCTGAAAGCTTTTAAGACAGAACATGAACATTTAGATTACTTTCACCTCCTTTATATGAACTTCTATAGTGTCATAAAAACACACACAGGGGAATTTAAATGAGAATCTGTCAGCACAGAGGATGTGTATTATATATGCCACAGTGCATCATACGAATCTGAGTTTTTTTAAGAGGCTTGACACAACAGAGATCTTGTGCTTGGTGGTGGGGCTCGATCTATCATGCTATCTCTCTATCTCCCCTCATCCTCCTTTTCTTTCTTACACAGATGTGAATGAGTGTACGAGGAAACCTTGTCTAAACGCTTATGCTTGTAAAAATCTAATTGGTGGATATCATTGCAACTGCTACCCGGGCTGGGCGGGACCGAACTGTAATATCAGTCAGTATACAAACTCTATAAAGTCTATATCTCTCAAACTTTTCCACCCTTTTTTTGCAAAGCAGCAAACTTTTGCTCTTCTTTCTATTCTCTAACGCTGATTAAAGCTGTTTTGCTTTTTATTAAGCAGAAAAATTGTTGAAATGAATAGGGCACCCAAAAAAAGAATACAATTCTGTTATAATTTGCTTATCCTACTGTTTATCCAAATCCATGAGAATGTTTCTCTTACACCATACAGCTTTGAATGGCAAATGGGCTGATATTTAAACCAGTTTAAGTCAATATTTGCTGATTTTCACCTACAGTGTTAATGTGATGGAATCATTGAGTCAGTGAGGTTTGTGAACAAATATTTTTGACCAATTTTGTAAACTGGATCAAACTATTAATTGAATCGATCTGACTCAAAGAATTGATTTGTTCATAAATCAGACATTTTTCTGATGAACGTTCCAAGGAAAAGCACTTCAGTCTGCTACATTTTGCTCTGATCATCACAAGTTATCAGAGAGCTATCAAAAAACACTTTTATGATGCCTTTTGTTGTCCTTTTTGAACATTTTTTTTAATTCCATTTTTAAAAAGTGACCAGCACAAACTTTAAAATGTATGTATTCAACAGAAAAAAGCCATGAGCACATTGTAAAGGAAGTGATGTATTTTCTGTCTTTAGTTATTCTAAATTAGTCTCTTAAAGGTTTTCTCCTAACTGTGCATGTGTTCTGTAATGCAGCCTGCTCTCGCATGTCTAACAGCTCTGAGATGCTTTAATCTCGTTTTCTTATTTTTCTTTGCTTTTACACATATTGGACCAGAATGTTATGTTGATGTGTTAATGATTATTTCACAGATGTCAACAGCTGTTACGGTCAGTGTCAGAATGGAGGAACCTGTCAGGTGGGCATATTCTTGTTTTATTTGACATTACTTTTTAGACATTCTGGGCTGAATCGGTTGTACAGCTTTTGTGCGCAGTATATCAGTACAGAAACCTGCATCTTTTCATTAATCATCCACAATCTAGGCTAGTTTATTTAGGTGCAATACTGTTTATTGTTCTTCTGCAGCCCATTCTCACCCCCAAGGCGTCACCTAACTGACACAAATCTTTTTTGTTAAATGTCAGTTTAATGATCAATATTATAATGTTTCATATTTTTTTCATATTGTCTATATTATTCTAGCCTGACTTCGTCATACTTATTTCTAGTCAGAATATGAGTCTGATACTGCTCTGTAGGGCTTTGATTATGAGGCGTGTCTTAATCGAACCAGGGGGAAAAAAAAACTCTGCACTCAATTGGATAGTCGGTAGACCTACAGTACAACCAATCAGAGCAATGCAGAATCCTTTGCATAGCGCAGTTTTCAAATACAGAACTTACTTATTTTAGAAGTTAAATAACGAGTGTTGCGTCTTTTACTTACTCCTCCATGAGTGTGACCAAAGGAGAAACCACAATGACCACAGGCTTTTCATTACGTCCCATCTTCTTAGCGACCCGTCAGAGCCAGCTGATAAGTTACACTTTTCCCGAATCTTGTAGAAAGGATGGCAAAAATATCTTTCCGATCGACAAATGCCTTGATTGCAGTTCTCTGTTTGTCTATTAATTAATCTATTAAAACCAGTTAAGCGCTCTTTGATAACGTGATGATTACGTCCTTGCAGATCACCTATCCATCATCGTATAAAGCCCGCCCTGGCGATTTGATTGGCCCGAACGTTTCTTGTCTGATCATAATTACTTCTCAATGGATCGAGTCCAGACCGAACTTCCCGACCAAAAAATGTTATGGGCGGAGTTCGGGCTGGCATCCAGGCTAATATTATTCTGCAATTGATATTACATTGTATTTGCTGTTATTATTATTATTGTAATATTAGACCACTTGCAGTTATCAATCTATTACAACTATGCTGTTAAATGTTTGTACTATTCATAGTCACCATTTAACTTATTATTTTTATTGTCTATTTACTGTAATTGATATTTCTTATTCCATTGCTATTATTATAATATTATACATAATCTATATGATAAATATTTGTATTATTATATGATGTACTTATGATATTATATAATTGTACCATTCATTACTATTTTATTTGCCGTATAGTGTTTGTTAATTTTATTGACTAAACTATTTACTATTACTTCTCACTTTATCTTATGTTTACTATTTGTATTGCACTATTTGTACCATATCTTATGTATTAGCATAAAGGATTCATCAGTTCTCTTTGTTATTGGCAAAATCGGGTTAATCACAGAAAATGCTTTTTCCACACAAAAAAATTGCAATTACAGTTACAAAATTTCACTACAAAAAAATGTAATTATAAAAAATGTAATTATATCTTCAAAATTCTTATCTAAGAATAAAAAGCCAGATAGCCTACATGACAAGCCTGAACTTTGAAAATTCTTTATTAAAAAAAAAATGTTTTATAAGTCTAACTATCGAGATTTGGAGATGGAACTTTTTGTACACCACGTACAAATCAGTTTATAAATCATCTCCACCTTTGTGTGTATTTGTTAGGATGGTCGTCATGGTTATGTGTGCCAGTGCCAGCCGGGATTCATGGGAAGACACTGTGAAGTGCAGCCGAGCAGGTGTGCAAGCTCCCCATGCCAAAATGATGCACGGTGCCGTTCGCTAGCCATGGGCTATGCGTGTGAGTGTCTGTACGGATACACTGGAACCAACTGTGAGGTGAGGTCAATAATTCCATATGCACACAAAAAACTGTCTCTTTCTCAATCACTAATTTCCTCTCTCATTCTCTCACTTTCTCTGTAGGTGCAGGTAGATCTATGCAGTCCAAACCCGTGTCAGAATAAAGCCCAGTGTCACTCTCTGCAGGGAGATTTTTACTGTGCCTGCACAGATGAATATGAGGGGAAAACATGCAGTCAGCTACGAGACCACTGCAAGACCAGCACCTGCCAAGGTAGACAAATGACCTCACTGAAGGTCTGATCAAATTTATGTTATGATGTGTTAATGTAGTAGAGGACGGCGCTGGCAACAACAAGATTATATTGAAGATTTATTTCTTTAGATGTTTTCTTTCAAAGATCCTGATATTACACACAAGCATTAATGACAATCTAAGTTTAATCTTGTTTTGTTTTTCCGATTAGTGATTGACAGCTGTACTATTGCCGTGACAACCAACGGCACAGCAAAAGCGGTACGGCACATCTTATCAAATGTGTGTGGTCCTCATGGGCGCTGCATCAGCCAGTCAGAAGGAAACTTCACCTGTGCCTGCCAACCAGGATTCACTGGCACGTACTGTCATGAGAGTGAGTAATATTACACACATACACATACACACACCCGTATTAAACCTTCAATATAAACATACAAGCAACATTCGTTTCTGCTTTCTCTCTCAGATATAAATGACTGTGAATCATCCACTTGTCACAGCGGAGGAACATGCATTGATGACATCGACTCCTTCCGCTGTATCTGTCCTGATGGCTTTGAAGGTCAACTCTGTGAGCTGGGTAAAAATATCAGCTCTATATCATTTTTGTGTCTGACATTAGTGGAGTAGTGTATCAGTCCTATGAGAGAGAGCTTTATTAATAGATTTAGATAGTCATTTGAACACTGCCATTTAAAAGTTTGTGGTTAATAAGATTTAATATATACTGTATATATATATATATATATATATACTTTTAATCAGCAAGGACATATTTCTGCTCATTTCTATAAAATGTTCTATTCATCAAAAAAATTCTTCACAAATATATATGGCTTTCCATAAAAATATTAATTTGCACAACTGTTTTAAACATTGAAAATAATACAAAAAATGGTTTAATATTAATTTGTAATAATTAATGCCATAATTTGGCATTGTGTGACTGGTGTGGTGACTAGAGAGAGAGAGAGAGAGAGAAATAAATAATGGTCCATATATATATATATATATGTATGTATATATCACTTCCTAGGAGTTTAAATTGCATAAAGTAGCATACAACATAGTTATAACGAGATTAATTGCCATCTTGAAATTGTTCTTTAAATAAATATAAAAGTTTACAAAAAATATTAAAATGTTTCATACACTATGGTTCTAAAGTTTAGGGTCAGAAGATTTTTTTAATGTTTTTGAAAGAAGTCTCTTATGCCAAGGATGCATATATATATATATATATATATATTACTGACCAGCATTCGGTCAAGTTTGGGTGTAATAAAGCGCACGTAGGAGTGGAGAAACAAATCATTCTTAATAAAACCAAACACAGCCACATTAACAATACCAGACAAATACCTGAACTAAACACAGGGCTTAAATACATGGGGATACAAAAGAAACAGGTGTGGGACTAAACAGAACTAAGGCAAACAGGAACAGACCAAACAGAATAAAAATGAAACCATAAGGGAACATAAGAAAATATACAGTACACAATTACATTGTCTTCTATCCAGGTTGTTTGTTTTTGTTGAGAGATTTGGCAATATTGATCCAAGTCCTCTAAAATGTAGCATTATGTACAATGTTCTTTATATAATCTTATATATCTTAAATCTTAAATTGTTCTCTTCAGAGGTAAATGAGTGTAGTGGTGAGCCTTGTCTAAACGGAGGTGTTTGTAAGGATCTGCTGAATGATTTCCACTGTCGCTGCACTGACAACTGGAAAGGAAAGACGTGTAACTCACGTAAGTGAATGTTTAAATGTATTTTCATTTTAGGCATCTAACTGTCCGTGCCTGCCCTCAAAGTGGATTTGTTGTTACAGGAGACAATCAGTGTGATTCCACAACATGTGCTAATGGAGGAACGTGCCACGATCATGGAGACTCATTCCGATGTGTGTGTCCTTCCGGTTGGGGTGGCAGTACCTGTAACATGGGTGAGATAGAAACCAAAACACCTCAATGCTGAACTCATTAGTCTGTATCTTTCTCACTGTATCTCTCTCTTTCTTTCTAGCCATGAACAGCTCGTGTGAATCTGGTCCGTGTCTAAATGGCGGGACTTGCATTGGAGGGGGCAGCGTCTTCACTTGCGTCTGTAAGGAAGGATGGACGGGGCCTATCTGTGCTCAGGGTAAGACCACACCCATCTGTTTCCCCCTAGCTTACTCTCTTTTCCAAAAATATCAACTAACTAAAACCTTGTGCATGTTAATTGTGATGTACTCCCACACATGTATAGCTGTGATTGGGCTTTAGGTGTGCTGGCAGGCTGTGATTTGCCCTGACAGGTCTAGTTCTGATATATCCTCTGGTAGTTCTGCCTTCATGAGATGTTTTCATTCTGTTTTCAGATGTTGATGACTGCAACCCTCATCCCTGGTAAGTGATGAAATAGATAACGTAAGTGAAGAAAAGTACAGAAAGGAGAGAAAAAAAACAAAAAAACAATCACTCACGCAAACAACTGGGCTTATCATTCACAAAACTTTGGCAGAGTCTCTTAGGGAGACTGAATATATAAATGTCTAAATGCCTACATCTAGCGTGAGGGCCTACTAGTTTATGCGTCTGTAGCATCTTTATCTTGATAAGAATGTCAGTTATGATAAAGTATGTATTACTCAGATTCCATCTCTCTGTCTCTCTCTCTCTATCTAGTTATAATGGGGGACAGTGTGTAGACGGGGTCAACTGGTTTCGTTGTGAGTGCGCACCTGGATTTGCAGGGCCTGACTGTCGCATAAGTGAGTGAATACCTCTGCACATACTGTATCTGTAAACATGATTCAATGATACAGCAAGAACTATGAATATTCATGACAGGACAAAAAATCCTTAAAGGACGAGTCAATGTACAGAAAAAAATTTAGGAACTAGATTTTTTTTCTTTAAAATATACTTAGAAATACGCTACAGAAACTTCTGGAGTTGTTTATGTGAGAAAATTTTACTTGCATCTGAAAATGGGTGTGACGTAATGGGCGGGAGAGCGGTCGATTCAAACAACAGGAAAACAACACATCGCAATGACATTTCGGACACTGAGGAAATATTTACTCGTATGACGGACCACAGCCATACAATGATAAGCCTGCTATATTGCCAAGAGAGCAGGACAGGATAATGTTAGACAGAACAACGGTCAGAGACACATTGAGTTGTGGTGTGAGGAGAACCAGTGGAGAGCAGGACAGGTGTCTTGGTGAGAGACGTGCTTATAGATACACGTTCGATAAGGATATACACTGTGCTTACAATATTGTACAGATTATTACCATCGTATATCAGGCCAGCAGACATTAGTATGTTTAGGGTAGATACTGTTAAATGTATAAAAACTATACTTTAGTATATATATATATATATATATATATATATATATATATAAACATACTCAAGTAGGCTACATTTTTAATACATATTTTTCACCTGGGTTATAACATAGTAGTTATAACAGAAAATTCAAGTTTTTAACATTTAAAAAATCTGAGTAATTTTGTTTTTCAATTAAAAGTTGCCTCTATTTAGGGCATGGCTACCTATATCACACTATTTGATGCCATTGGTACAGTATAAGACGATCAATATTCTTGCTTTAGCATAATCACGAAACGGAGGCGCCGGTGCATGAACTGGAGCTCGTCTCATAAATGAACCGGAAAACTCAGCATATAAGGTAGCCTCACAGACATGTCTACTTTTAAATATTATAGATATTATTTTAGATATTATAGATATTCTCGGGGGAAAATGAGCAGCAGTCAACTAGAGCAGTGCAGCGCCCATAGACTACAGTTTAGAGGAGTGCACGTTAAAAAGTGGGAGTACACTAATACACTCTGTTCCATTTCGTGCAACTAGTGGTGCAAAAATAACACAAGGAGAACTCAGGCACAAAATGAACCTTTGGTCTAATAACACATTGGTACCTAGTCGACACTCAATAATAATTTATTCATATAATTTATCAAAATGTCTTTGTCCCTGTAAACTGACATACTTCTCTCTGGTGACATATGGACTTCTACAATCATATTGTCTGCATAAGCTATGTCCCTTTCTCACAATCGACTGCAAGCTTGCATTCAAAAAAAAATTCACTCCGACGTATGTCACAGTACGGAAGAAAAGATATGTGACTACTTTCGTTACATTGTGACTTTAACACGCTCTCTCTACTTCTGTCTCTCACTCGATCTCAGACATAGATGAGTGTCAGTCCTCTCCCTGTTCGTATGGAGCCACATGTGTGGATGAGATTAATGGATATCGTTGTCTGTGCCCAGTGGGACGAGCTGGACCGCGCTGCCAGGAGTGTGAGTTCCCACTGACAGACCACCCTACTTGTTTGCATTATGAGAAATGAAGTGTTGAAAATCTTTGCAGTCTACTCATGTTGTGTGAACACACCTTAATTTGAGCCAAACAAAACTGGACCAGACTAAATTGCCTGTTTCAACAAAGTCCATCATGGTGGTACTGCATCACTGTTTGTGGGGGAAAAAAATGAAATATGTGTTCATCAAAAACAGCTAAATACATTCAGTGAAATGTTTCATTGTCCCTCCCACATTAAGAAAAATGTTATGATTATTAATGAATTAAAATCACTAAATTATGTCCAATATATAACATAGTCTCCAGCTCCATTTATTTGTTAAAAAATAGTTATTTAAAATGTTAACTGTTTTCTATTTAATATTTTTTTATGCCTGTGGTGCAAAGCTAAATGTTCAGCATCATTACTCCAGTCTTCTCTTTCACATGATCTCTAGAAAGTATTCTACTATGCTGATTTGCTGCTCAATAAACACATATTATTATTATATTATCTAATATTTTTATTGAAACCATTATACAATTTACCAGGAATTTGTGATGCATCTAAACCTTATAAATGTATTTTAATGTCAAATTTAATCAATTTAATGCATCCCTTCTTAATAAAAATATTAATTTTAGAAAAAAAAGACTGACCCCAACCTTTTGAACCTTTTGAACCTTTTGTTCCTCTCCATCTCTTGTCATCGGTAGTCATTGGTGTTGGAAAGGCATGCGATAGCTCAGGCTTGCAGCTTCTTCATGGTGATCGTTGGGAGGATGGGTGCAACAGCTGTCAGTGCATGAATGGAAACATCAAATGCACTAAAGTGAGTCCTATGATCTACCTCAAACTGTGCTACTGTACCAAAATAATCTTACAGTCCATTTGTAGTCACATTCAGTGTAAAATCACATTGTTGGAAGGAGTTAAAATGTTAAAATGCCTCTCACAAACATATTTTTTTGCATAAAGAAAATGAGACCTCCATGTAGATTTTGTTGAAAATGTAGATCATTATTTATTTGTAACTAGACATAAATTCTTCACTAAGTTTTTTTTTTATTGTGACCGCAGGTGCGTTGTGGTCGTCAGCCCTGCATGTTGCATTCAGACTCTGGTGAGCTACAGCACCCCCGGTGTCCACTAGGACAGGAGTGTGTAGCGCATCATTTCCTGTCTTGCCTTCGTCCACCCTGCAGTCAGCTGGGAATATGCTCCACCTCTGAACCACCCCCCATCAGCACTCGGTGCCTACCCAACAACGGCTACCTAGATGATAACTGTGCTCATGTTACGCTTGTATTTGACTCTGACAGTGTCCCGCAGGTAAGAGGTATTCATTTAGTAAATGCTAAAAGTATTGAAAGACATAGGGGAGAGCGGGGCACAACATAACGTATATTAAATGTAACGGAGCTTTTACATAGTTCGTCAGGATCAAGCAGGCTGTGTTTACGATATTTTTCTCTTGCTGCCAGAAGACGGTCTCACGAGAATTTGCAGAAAGTTTTGATAATATTTCGTGAAGATACTTGACAAAGAGTGTTTTGACACCATGAAAGTACATTTTTTCATCATAGGTTTTTTTCGGTTTCCGAGTTGTGTGTATACGTTTCCAAATCTAACTTTCTACCTTAATCACTGTCTTGTTGGCTCAAACATAGCACCATTTTGAAACATGTCAGCAGTTACTGGCGACTGTTAGCTTGGGTTAAAATATGTAATATACAGCGGGGTTAGTTGTAGCACAGTGCTACAAACAAGCCACCAAGTGTACAATGATAATCAAATGAAAACGGAGCCACACAACTTTTCAGCTTTGAGTATTTATTTATTCATTAAACTTTGTTGGACTTTCTCAAACAATGTTGGAATTTAAAATGTTTAAAATTTAGTTTACTATGCATTGATCACTTGTTTATTTATTAAAAAAAATAGCGCCTGTTTTTAATGCAATAAACCCTTTAAATTTTTATTTTATTTTATTATTAATAATAATAATTGTACATGCAGCTGCCACACACACATGTAATTCAATTGCAATTACAATATTTTCTGATTTTATTTATTATTATTTATTGCAAAATTGTGCAGCCCATTTCTATGTCTCTATCCATGATATTGATCCATAATAAAAGGATGATTGGATGAGGGATGGATGTATGGATATCCGTCTATATACAGATGCACAAACAATATCAAACTCTACAAATAAAATTGTACTGAATTATGTGTGTTGCACACAAGTGTTACAACTAACCCTTCTGTCTGTTACAATTAACCCCTCTGCATATGGGGTAAGTTGTAACATTTGCATTTCTTTTACTTTCAATCCAACTGTACGAAAATGGTAGGTCCTAGAAAAAAACTTTAAGTGTTCATTTGTAGCAGAGATGTGTATGTTGCTTGTGTTAAAAAATCTAACCTAATTATTTTTTAATAAGTTGAGCCAAAACCAAAATGTGTTAGGTTGTGCCCCGCTCTCCCCTACACATCTTATTAACTCACATAAACATGATTTCCATTTGTGGCATGTTCATGGGTTTTTTTAACAGGGCACAACTGCTGAAGGTGTTTGCACAGAGCTAACGTATCTGCCAATCATACGAACCCTGGCCAAAGACCACACCCTTTCCATTCTTTGTGACCAATCACCGTCCAGCCAGAATGCTGTGGAGGTTGCTATGGTGAGCTCACTCTCTTCAACCATCAGTCTTTAATCCAACGAAATTACCTCATCGGTTGTAAACAAGCCCGGTACTCATGTTCAATCACAGAGCTGCTAAGAAAAAAAAGCAACACGTTTTGACATACAACATAAAAACACTGGTAACAAGCTAAGGAAAAAATGTTAACAATGAAGATTTTAGTAGCATAAAGTTTTTTAGCGTAGTTAGCGTAGAGTTTTTATTTTTTCCACTTTAACTGATCTGTTTTTTTGTCTTGCGTGCTACAGTTTGATCTCGATTCTTAAACGGAACACAAAATGCATTAAAACTAAATAGTAAAAGCTTTTTTATGATCAATTAGCATCAGCTATTAATGGACACGCCTCCAACTTGGAAAGTTGGGCCTGCTTAAGTTTCCTTCTGCTAAACACAACTGTGGTTACATTTATGTGGACTCGTCTCGTATAAGCAATCACTCCGACATCTCTAGAAGGCAGCTTAAAACAGTGTGTATCAAAACACTGATTTTTTCATCCAATAACACGCTCTTCCTGAAACCATCACATCTGTTTTCCTTCACTTTGGAGTGTTTATTTCTTTCTTTCCATCTCGTTTCTGCTTTAAAACATTTCCCTGCCTGTCTTCCAGTTTGCATTCCTTAAAAAAGGCACTTTAAATCAGTCAAATGGCTTCAAAAGAGTGCTTGTAAAATTTAAACCAAGACTTTATACATGAAAAAAATAAATCCAGCTTTTCACTTTTAACATACCTCACCTGTCCTGCTCTACAGTCTGTAGTCCCTCTCGTCTTTCTCTCTCACTTTCTCCTTCACTCGCTCTGGGACCATTGCTGTAGTAATCTTGGGGAAAGGTCTGGTCCTCTACTTTAAGCCCTTAATGACCAGAATCTTAGTTCTACTCTTTCTGATGTTGTAATCCTCTCAAGATTTATGTAGTAACATTGAAAGATTTCCGGAAAAGGAGCGGTAACCTTTAATGGTTTGAACTCTCAAAAGACTTTGTGCTGATGTTTTAAGCTCAGCACTGGGACGTCCCCTGTTGAATCCAGTGTGGTTATACTCTGACTATTTCCACAGAAAAATTACATGTAGCTGGTCATGAAATTTAAGGGAAAGTTGAATAACTTGCTCAGTCAGGTCTTCTGTCATTTCTGATTTTTTAATTATTTAATTTCATAAGCTAGATAATTTATGCTGTATTTCTTCCTTAGTCATTCCAACATGTCCCCATTATTCCTCCTCTTTTCTCTTTTCAGTTTAAATTTTTGAATGCTTTCTTATGAAAACCAAAGAGGATAAATAAAAAAAATCGAATTACTTGTTTATATCCTGGTTCAAATTAAATTTTCCCAATGTAGTTCAGGCCCTTGCTTACTGAGTCCGAAATTCACAAATGCAATTTTCGCACGTTAAAAAATAAAAACAACCTCATGTTATGTCAATCACACATGCACGCTGCCTCCAAAATTTTCGTCCGTCATAAAAAAAATCGAATCGGGTGCAAGGGCATTTAGCCTAATTGGATAAGAATTTTTTCCTTGCGTGATACACAATCGAATGTGAGTTTTATCGGTTTAATTTGTGATTGAACATTTTCCTGGATGCCGCAATCTTTATTCTGTGATAGCCTGTTTCAATAGTAAGGTTGTGTCTGCTAAAACTGTACTTATGTGGCTCTTAGTTGTTGTTGTCATTAATGTGTCAGTGTAACGATACATTTGTGTACTGTCTTTTTAGGGCCAAATAGACTCAATTTTTTTGAGTTTCCCAACAAGTGATAGAATTATGCGTAATTAGTGTTGTAATTTGGTTCGGCCTAATTAGGTTGACAGTACTGTTCTATTCCAAAGTGGGTGTCTAAGTAAAACATCAGGACTAAAGCTGAGAGAAACGACTTCAGCACATTTTCTTTTGCGCTTTTTCATTCTCTTTCTTTTGTTTTCCTCAGTCATACGAGCAAAACAGCTTTGTTGCGGGACGAGCTCAGATACAGGATGTTGTCCGCTCCATCATTGATGTTCTGTCCAAACTTCACAACAGCACGTTACTGTTGGCTGTGAGAGAGGTCAGAGTTGACACTCAGGACCCGCGTCCCCACGCTGGTGAGTGACATCCCTTTTCTTTTCACATGCTCATCCTTTCTCACTCTTTCAATCCTTTTTCTTATGTTGCCATTCAACGGTTTAGGGGCAGTATGATTTTTTTATTCAGTAACGATGCATTATTATTAAATCGATGCACAATGTCACAACTGTGTTCAACATTGATAATAAGAAATGTTTCCTGAGCAGCAAATCAGCATAATATAATGATTTCTGCAGGATCATGTGATACTAAAAACTAGAGTAATGCTGAAAATACAGCTTTGCCATCACAGGAATAAATTACATTTTAAAATAATATTAAAATGGAAATGTGATATTTGAAATGGGAATAATATTTCATATTTTTTACTGTATTTGTTGATCAAATAAATTATTTTTGTCTCTCTCTACAGGTTACCTCATCCCGTTGCTGTGTGTGTTGTTTGTGGTATTATGGATCTTATGTGTCATCGTGTGCGTGTTGTGGTTCCGGAGACGCAGGAAAGCGAAACAAAGAGAGGACACGCAGATGGAGGAAAGCATCAACAACCAGCGCGGGACACTACTGTGCGCTCGCACACCTCACAAAGACAACACGGACCCGCTGCAGGAGAACAAGAACCTGCTTTACCCTCTGGATCGGGTTGGAGACGGAGCTGAGCGAGAGGAAGAGGAGGAAGAGGGAGATGATGAGAGCGACAGAGGGGTGGTTCTGCATAAGTGCTCATCTCTCGAGTGCTCTAGAGGGGACGCAGTGTACACTATTCACACTACAGCCCAAAGTCAGCCACACAGGACACACTACAGCAGCAAAGACAACCGCTGCAAGAACAATGTGAACGAGAGCTTAAGTGAGCACATGAAAGATCACTATGTATGAAAAAGCCAGACAAACTGGAAAAACATAAGTATTTTCTTCACTGACTGATCTGAAAGCATCTGGGACTGGTGGGATTGGTCTTTTTCATCCTTTTTATCATCGTGTAGTCAAATGAAACAGGGATTTGTGAGACATAAATGCAGCAAATCAGACTTTCAAAATCCTTTTCTTTTGTTTACACTTGCACTCACTTTCCTAAAAAAGAAGGACATTTTTACACAAGGCTGAACTTTGAGATTATGTCTGTGAACTGTGGCGAGACCTTTGACCCTTGGGGCTGAGGAGAAATTGGCGATAGGCAGCTTTAAAATGTTTTTGATTATGTCCAGACCTGCCCAAAGTCAAGTGCTAGGAGCCGTTAAGTCTTCCAGAGGTAAATATATATATATATATATATATATTCAAGTGCCTCATTGAACCTTCAAGACAGTTCTTACACCTTTTATATACATTTTTAATGATGATACTCATATGTTTTTTTTTTTTGTAACAAATGCTACATATACACTTAAAGCCAGGGTTAGTTCACCCAAAAATGGTCACCATTTAGTCACTTGTGTGTCACTCTAAACCCGTATGATGAAGAAAGATCTTCTAACACAAAAATTAGTAAATTGTAATAAGTTGCTCAAGAACTTTCGAGCTTCAAAAGGGGCGCAGAAACAACATAAAAGTATCGTCAAAGTATCATAAAATACATTTGTATGGTATATTCCAAGTCTCTTGGAGCTATCTGATCAATTTTGGTCTATTCGTCACACAGCGAAAAAATCATTCACTAATATCTTACATTCTGTTGGGCTGTTAACTGTTCAATCAGTTTAAGATCAGATCAGTCCAATTAATGAACGGTTTGTGTACAAGATCAACCGATTTACTGGAAAGATCAAACTCAAAACATGAGTCAGACAATCTCTACATCTCATCTGGGGCGGATGTCAAGATATTCATTGAATAATAACTGAAGTTTGTCCCTGACACAAATCTATTGTATGACTTCAGAAGACCTTTTCAAAGATACATTTATTTTTAAGAAACTTGACAGCCTCAGTGATTATTTACTTTCGATAAACAGAAAAGAGAAAGATTGATATTTGGAATAACATAAGGGTGACTAAATAATGAAAGAATTAACATTTTTGGATGAACTATCCCTTTAAGACTGTCATAAAAAAGGTTTAGTTTTTCTATTATTGTTATTGAAATTAACTGTCTTTGGGAATTGGTACTCGTAGTCTAAACAGTTAAAGAGTATTCTGACTGATACATTCTCATTCAGCTTTTGATAGGTGAAATTATAGCTCATTTTTTTGTTCTTTAACATGACAGCCATATAATAGTAAAAGTGTAAAAAAAAAAAAAAAAAAAAATCGAGGGCCACTTCACTCAACGCACTATTGTTAAAAATTATTTTAGTTCTTTAACTACTAAGAGATGATAAATGACAAGATATGCGTATGTACATATGTAAATAGTGAAAAAAGACAGCTGTGTATATTTGAGTTTAGTAAGTTATGTGACCTTTTTATTATTGTCATTCTTAGAATTATTACTTTTTCTTATTCTCTCCTTCAGTCTCTCTTTTTCAACAATGTCATTCCTTTTATTTATGTTGGTCAGAAAATGTTTTATGGCCACAGGCTGTAAGTCTGTGGGGACTTAAAGAAATACTCTAAACATTACATGATCTGTCTTCATGTTAGAATAGATTATCTGTTATTATTTTTTTTGTGACTTTCCTAATGAATGTCAACTTGGGATTGGACACATTGGCCATGCTGAAAGTAAAAATCAACAACAAATGTTGTCACTGATCACTACTTCTGAAGGTCTAAAGTACGTCATTGGAGAAAGATGTGCTGCGTGTTCGAGTGGCACTCGTCTTCTTGGAGAAGTTTAACACCTGCATTTTCAAGCCAATATCATGATAATAATGTGTTTCTATAGTGTCCCAGACTGTCTGGTTTTTAAGTTGGATGTTGGAAGACTTTTGGAAGAAAGATTTTTTTTTCAATTATTATTATTCTTAAATGTTTTCAGAACATCATTGCTTGGTATTGTGCTACTACAATTCAAAATGAACCACAAACGGACCAGAGTCTCTTCATGAAATGACCCAAGTCAAGAACTTAAAACACTTGAGTTGATCTTCTGTCTGAGTATAGTGTTGAATATACAGATTTTATATATAAAAAAATGGTACTATGATACCATTTTACAAAAGAATACTATGAGCAAAGATTAAATTATGTTTTCTGAAATACTCCCTTGTTTTGAGGTAGCTGGGGTATATTGTTCCCTCTTTATTTATGAGCTGTTCTGTTAAATTGGATTGGACTCAAATCAAATACAATTATTCAAGATTTCTGGAAAGTCAGGAAATTTGTATCAGTGCATGTTGCTGTGGCTGAATGAAGGGGGAAAAAATTATGTTTTTTCATTTGTCATTGTTTCATTTGGTGTCTTTAGTGCAGAGAAAATATTACAGTTGAATATAGAAATAATTGGATAATGCAAAATTTGACCGTAATTCAGATTTATTCAATAACCTTAAAGGGTCATTCACCCAAAAATGAAAATTCTGTCATTAATTACTCACCCTCATGTCGTTCCAAACCCGTAAGACCTTTATTCATCTTTGCAAGACAAATTAGGCACACAACGTATACTATCCAGCCCCAGAAAGGTAGTGAAGACATTGTTAAAATAGTCCATGTGACAGTGGTTCAACCTTAATGTTATGAAGCAACGAGAATACTGTCAGTCTCTGACGCTGTTCAGGTTGTAAACACAGAGCATCGCTTCCAGGTTCTGTGTTAGAACGGCGACTCAGTATTGGCTCTTTATTGGCCAGTTCCTGCAACAGCATCATACGCATACATTGTGGTGCTCACGTGAACAGCGTCGGAGACTGACATGGAAGACAAGGAATTGTTGAATCAAGTCTTTTTCGTTTTTTTGTGCTCAAAAAGTATTCTTGTCGCTTCATAACATTAAGGTTGAATCACTGCAGTCACATGGACTATTTTAACAATGTCTTTACTACCTTTCTGGGCATTGAAAGTGGAAATAACTTTCGGTCAGAAAGCTCTCGGATTATAACGAACGTCATAAAGGGTGAGTAAATTGACAGAATTTTTGGGTGAACCAACTCTTTAATTTAAGTTTCATTATTGTATAAAAAAACCCTCCAAAAGTCCATTACATGACTGGCTTTGATTATTCTACATTCACTGATGCTCATACTGAATCTGAATTTTATTTGTACATCTCTTTGATTTTCCCAACAAGTATTTATTAAAGAATTTTGTACCTGAGGTTAACACTTTCATTTCAATTGTAGCATTTTTTTCCAGACCCTTAGCTTTTTCAAGCTTAGGTCTCATCTGTCAGCTATGCTGACATCATGCATGACGGTGAAATCCAAAGCTGGAGAAGAATCCTTAAAGTTGAAGAGGCTGATAACAAGAGTTTTGTTTTGACTCAGACAGAGTAACGATGTGTATCGCTTCTTTTAAAGATTAACCTGCTCTAACTCATCCTAGGATGGACTCATGGCTTTAATTTTCAAGAAAAAAAAAAAGAAGAAGTGGGACACACCCACATTTCTTTTCAGAAATCTTCACCTTGGATTAACAAATCCTTCTGGAGGATGAGAATGTAAAGGGGGGCTTCAAAGATTTGGAATGTGTTGCATTTGGAGTTATGATTCAGATAATCCATAAAGATACACCATTTAAATGGTCAGGAGGGATAAATAACCCTCAGTTATTCTATTTAGTTTTGGACATTAATATATCATTCTGACATTATCGTAATTCTATATTTCTTAATATTATCTTAATATATATGTTATATTCTTAATTTGTTTATTAGTTTATTATATATTTGGAGGTTTGCTTTGTAACTTTTAGTTATTTAACCTATAGAGACCTTTATTTTGAAAGGCGGCTTGCCGGAAATGCGAACAGATCGCTCGCGCGCAGGAAACGCGCATATACGGAGATTGCACACAGACACGGAACCATGCGGTCACGGATTCACACATCCGAATAATAGTGTGTTAAGGTCATCTAAAAGTGAATTTAGGCATCTAGTCGCTGTTTATTTTTATTTTGGTAGTATTTTTTGTTTGTTTTTTAGCACCTGGTTGGAAAGGAGTACAAGGTATAGTTCATGTATATTTATGCATTTGTATAATCAATGCTACATAGCATATATTGTCCTTATGATTGTTTTATATATGTTTGAGTAATTTATGGCATTTATATTAATGCTAGTAATCATTTAGTGATTTATTGCTATATTTTACTGTTTTGTTTCATGTATGTGAATTATTTTCAAACTCCAATAATGTTAATTTATCTGTTCTAGCTCTTACGGTGTTGTGAAGGTGTTGTGAAGGCAATGTGAAGGTGTTACGGACAATAAACAGACAACATCAGTGAGAGAGCGACTTTTCTTTATTCAACCGGGCTGCTACAGTAAGAGCTTTTCCTATTTATTCCATTTGCTGATGTAAATGATGACAGACAAGGCATCTAAATCATGCACTCCTGTGAAAAAAATGGATGCATCAAAACCTTCTCAAAGCAGTGATACAGACGATGAGATAGAAGATCATTCTGATGGTGTAAAGACAGATGAAGTACGTCGCTCTCGTCGTAAACGAAATCCTACAGAAAAGATGGTTGCGTATCAAAGAGAGGAGTCACAAAAGGCAGAGAAAGGGCTCATGCACTCATATGAGCACTGGAAGACTGAGGCTCGAAAGTCAACCTTCACTAAATTCAATACTGATGGCTAAACGAATAGAGGCAGAAGCAGAGCTTGCAGCAAAGGAAGCAGAGTATGCAGCAATAATGGAGGAAAGGGAACAAAGGGAAAGAATACAACTTCTAGAAGAAAGGCAAAAAAGAGAACTTGATGCTCAAAAGAGTGAGTATGAAAGATTACTAGTGGTAAAGGAGGTAAGAGCAGCTAGAGCCAGACTAAAGGTGTATGACAAGGAAGAAGTTTCGTCTGCTGATCAGAATGACGTGCTGCAGCAACCTGTGAGCATTCCCACACAAGTGTATTCATCCTCCATTGAGCCAACACTCAATGCCAAAGCATCATCGCCAACTACCAATGTGGATGTGTCTTACCTTGCACAGGCTGTTCAAGACAGTATAACGCTGAACAGACTTTCTATGCCAGAGCCTATTGTATTCAGTGGTGACCCCATTCACTTTATTGAATGGAAGGCTTCATTTCAATCACTCATCGACAAAAGACACATCTCCTCAGCAGATAAGTTATACTACTTGAAGAAGTATGTCACTGGTTCCGCTCGGAAAACTCTTGAAGGCATGTTTTACAGAAATGATTAGGAAGCCTACAAGGATGCATGGAAAAGACTTCAAGATCGCTATGGACAGCCGTTCATTGTACAAAGAGCATTCCGTGAGAAACTTGCATGCTGGCCCAGAATCCAGCCCAAGGATGCTGAAGGACTCAGAAATTTCTCAGATGTCCTGAATGCATGTAAAGACGCTATGCCTCATGTTAAGGGACTGGAAATACTGAATGACTGTGAGGAAAATAGAAAACTCGTCAGTAAACTTCCTGATTGGGCGGCTGCCCGCTGGAATCGCCAAGCTACGCAAACACTGAGTGAGACTCAAGAGTTCCCACCTTTCCATGATTTTGCTAAATTCATGTCACTTGAGGCCGAGGTAGCTTGCAACCCAGTCACTTCCTTCTATGCTCTTCACGCTTCTGAAGCTAATGAGGATAAACAGAACCTCAATGTTAGTAAGAACAAAGCCAATGTCTTCCACACAAAGATAATCACACAAAATGAGGATCCGAAGCACACTGGTAAAGTATTTAAACCATGTCTGTTCTGTCGAAGCAGTGAACATCAAATTCATGATTGCTCTAAATTCTCTGCAAGGTCTCTTGAAGAACGGAGACAGTTCGTAAAAGATAGTAAGCTGTGCTACGGATGTTTGAAGCTCAGTCACAGTGCCAGAGACTGTCGTTCCAGACATAGCTGTGTTATCTGCAAGGGAAGACATCCTACCTGCCTACATGATGACAGCTTCATTAGGAGGGTGAAGTTTCCCCCTGCTCAAAGCCCAGAGAACACGCATGAAAGGGTAGTGACAACGTCTTTAAGTGTAGAATCTGGATGTGCATCTGCTAACACCTCAATAATCGTGCCAGTGTGGTTGTCCTCACAAAATGACCCCACCTCAGAGAGACTCGTCTATGCTCTGTTAGACACACAAAGCGACACTGTCTTCGTCGAATATGCAGTAAGTCAAAGTCTAAAGGTTGACTCATGCCCAGTGACACTAAGGCTCACTACCATGGTTGGAAGAGATTCGTTGATATCAAGTGAAAAAGTTTCTGGTCTTCGAGTCAGAGGTTTCAATTCTACGGTAATTCTAGACCTCCCCCCTGCATACACTAAAGAATGTATCCCTGTGGATCGCGCTCACATCCCCACCAGTGAGACTGCCAGGTGTTGGAAACATCTTGCTCCTCTGGCAGACAGGATTCCCCTGCTTCAAGACTGTGAGGTTGGTCTATTATTAGGATATAATTGTCCTAGAGCTTTAGCACCCAGAGAAGTGATTCTTGGAGCAGACAATGGGCCATATGGTGTTCGCACGGATCTCCATTGGAGCATCGTGGGCCCTTCCTTGACACATTATGAGTCGCAAAGCGGTGTTAGTATGTGTCATAGAGTATCTATTAAGGAGTTTCCTTCTGTAACACCAGCTGATGTCATCAAGGTTCTGGAGTCAGATTTAAGGGATACTAAAGAAAACACAAAAGTGGTGTCTCAAGAGGACATTATGTTCTTGAATAAACTGGAAGAAAACATCAAAACGAATGAGGATGGACATTTGGAAATGCCCCTTCCATTCAAGAAAAGACCCTATCTTCCAGATAATGAGGTTCTTGCTGTCATGAGACTTCAACATCTAAAGCGGAGATTAATTAAGGACCAAGAGTACAGAGATCATTATGTGAAATTCATGGAAGACGTAATCGAGAATGGTGACGCAGAAAGAATCATGGATGAAGGAAAGAAAGGAGA